TTTGAATTGGCAAATATATGATAAGGAACAAAGGGAGAGTCATGGTAGTGGTTTTAGGAAGGTTCTAAGTTCATTTTGAGGTCTTGACAGTTGGGATTTTTAAGGAATGAGTATAGGAGAGAAATTGAGTCTTTGTTATGATCTTTTAAGCATGTGTAACTTACATAGCTGGGTAATTGAAATAAATCTGAATGTTAAAATAATTAATAGTGGATATGTTGAGTTTTAGGTAAGTTTGGGGTTCAAGATAGGGGTTTTGAATGGTGAGAATTTAAATTAGGAAGTTTGGAGTAGAAAGGAGGATTTGAAGACTGTTATGGAGTCTTTTAAGATTAGTTTGTACCTTTAGTTTGTTGTTTTAGTGTAGGAAATGGTAAAAGATAGTTTAGGTAGTCTAGAATGGTCAATTAGAGTTTGGAGTAGTCAATTTGAATTAGAGATGTATTTTTTGAGGTGTCTTAGTGTCAAGGGGTTGTAGGAACTGTTTAAACTTGTGTATAGGGTAACCAAGGTCAAATAGGCGAGTTTTAGAATCTGGTGTCACGCCCAAGTGCCCCGTAGGCGCCCCTTGAACGCCATTGCACCAGTTTTGGGTTTTCAAGTTTTAGAATCTCAAATTCAAGGTTTTGGATATTAGTTTTGGACATTCTATAGGTCATTTTAGAGGTTTTGGACTCTTTTGGAGCTATTAGTGAGAGTTTCTAAGCTGTTTTCCTTACCTAATGTGGGTATCAAGATGCTATAAAGAAAATTATGTTATTATGTGATTTTTGATGACTTGTAAGGGTGTTTCTGGTTATTTAATGTATAATCAGTGGTTTCATGTATTGGTATGCAATGTAAAGGTGAAGTGATATAAATGGTTTTAAAGTTGTGAAAATGAGTTCCAAGGAGAAACTTCTTGGTGGTGGTTTCAAGTATGTATAATATGAATGGTTGGAGTTAAGTTGGGGTTTATCTTGACATTCTAATGATCATCCATGCTCAATTAGAAAGTGATGAGTCATGTCGTAAGAATAGCAGGAGGTTCGAGTTTGAGAGACCTTTCTCTAGTTGGCAAAAGGGTGTTTGTAGGACAACCTGGTGTGGTAGCTTGGGGTAGTCCAACTATTCTACCACACAGGAACCTCTGTAACTCGACATTCCATACAATGATAGTTAGTCTAGATCCTTGCATGTTAAGATGTTTGAGTTGATGTATGTTACATAAATGATTTATGTATGTTATGCTGTAAAGGTGACATGACTTGTCTTGTATCTAACTTACCCTTGTTTTTGTGTTTGTCTATGTGTTGTTTTCTCTTTTGCAATGATCATATTAATGGTGTAAGCTTAGGAAGACAATATTTTCAGTTGTTCCAGCTAGATGTGAGGGTGAATCAGATGAGTTGTTAGATGATTCTATAGAAGTAGATCTATTGTCTTCTTATAGGTTTGTTTTCATCTAAGTGATTCTATTATATATATGTAACATAATATTTTAATAGTTTTATACTATTAAAATGAGATGTTACCGTTATAGTGATTAATTTAGATACCAATTTATAAACTAAAAATTAAAAGTTATTGATAACTAGAATAGTTTTTAAATTAGTCATCATAATAAATTAATTTTTAATTTAATTATTAACCTTAACTACCAAGTTTTTTATTATTAAAAAAATAGATTTATGTTACTAATATCAAAAAATATATAAATTGATATGTAAATTAATTATTATGATAACTAATTATCTTGTATCATTAAAATTGACAATTATTTAGTTTTCTCATTAAATATGATTAAGTTTTACATGGTTAAGTTCCACAACATAAATCGGTAATGTAATATTATTCTTGAAATGAATGTTTATGTAAAATAACACAAATACTTCTTCTTTTATTCACCCCCAACGAAAATCAATAAAATAACACTTTTAAATTAAAATATAAAATGATTTAGGATCAACCAACTAGAAAAGTAGAAATATTATATTTTTTAATTAGGTGTCGAGGGTAGGAAAATCAAAAGGGATACATGAAAGATTTCCCTAAAATAATCCACTTTCTAAAACTATTTTAAAACCTCAACCTTTTTATCCTACTCATTGATAGAACCTTTCACATATTCTATTGGTGTCACCACATATCATTGGATGATGTCTTCATAGTTACAAAATATATGTACACTGCAATGCATGAGACTCCTTAAAAAGATAAAATATATTTATTATATAAGTTTAAGTTTATGAAAAATATAATTAAAATTTAATATAAATATTTTATTTTGTAAATTTAAATAATAATATTTGATTGTGAGACTATATTTAAGTTATTTATTAAAATATAACTTTATCATATAATTAAATATAAGGTAATTAAGTCAATTAAAACAAAATATTCAAATTTAAATAATGTAATGTTAATAATTTTAGTTATGAGAACAAATAATTACATATTAAAAGAAAATAATTTTTGAAAATTTAAAATAAATTTAATAATAAATAAAAAAATATGATTATCATAATTGAATGACTTTAATTATTATATTTCAAAAAAAAATTTAGAACCGAATGGACTTTGCATACCTTTTGAATTTGTTACCTTTATAATTTATAATCCTTTCGCTTAAATATGAATTTGATTTCGGTTCATCAATTAAAACAATTTGAAATATGTTCATTGATCAAAGATTTTGAAAGGAGAACAAAATAACATGTTTTTTTTTATCTAAATAAAATTCTGATATAAAACAAAAATGATGTTGTTTTATTCATTGTTGGAAATATTCAAACATATCACTTTTCATGATTGTGATGGTTAAAACCCAAAAAATATCATATTTACTATAATAATTATTGGATTTCTTGTGATAACAAACTCTAGGTATACAACTAACATAATCAATATAGCATAATAAAAAGTAAAACAATAATATAACGACACATTTTTATATTTATTTGATACATAGTATAAAAGATAAAATAGTTATAAAAAAATAATTTTATTTATTTTACTTTAAGAAAAAAAGTAAAAAAGAAAAAGAAAAAAAATAATATCAATAATGTAAAAATTTAAATCTGTCAAAAGTATATTTTTGTTAAAAGTATACTTGATTTTAATCACCGTGATTGCCAAATCCAATTTAATTTCAGTAAAAAGGATAACAATTTAATTTGTAAACTTACATCTACATCTATTTTAATACACAAAAAATAACCATATTTACGCGGTATATAAAATCTAATTAAGAACTTTAAAAATAGAGAAAGGAAGAAATTAGTTACATTTTATTGGTATAATATTTTAGTCCTAATTTGGTTCATTACGATTTAATGTATGATAAATAGTGGTCAACGGCTGTAAATGGTGATGATAAAATTGTTACAGAAACACACACACATATAAAATATATATATATATATATATATATATATATATAAATATAAATATAAAATACCCATGGTGTCAGTATCCAATTAGCAATGTCAACATTTTCCGATATTTTCGCTGTAATATTTTTACTGTATGTATAGTGTGTATATGTACGTAACTTGTACAGTATCGCGTCGGTGGAATGGTGGGAGAGTATTCATTAATTTACATTTTATTTTAAAGTTATGCCTTAGCAAGTGGGTACTATGAATTATAAACTATTAATATTTTTTACTATTAACAAACTTTAATATTCTACTGTCAATAAATAATATAACTAAAACATATTGAAACATTTATTTCGACAAAGATTTTTTCTAAAAAAAATCTTTTAACCGTGCAGTTGCAAAAGTATTGTTAATAGATTAACAGTATAAATTATAATACATACATTTGGGAATAGATAATCCTTTAACATAAATATAATCATAAGAAGTTTGGGAGTCGATTACACTTGATTATTTTGTTAACAATGAATTTGTATATAAAAACACATTGGCACCTCATTATGTTCTGTAAAAATATTTTTTAAAAAATTGACTGAAAAATTTGTAAACCTTTTAATAGTTTTTATATTATAATGATCTCGCTTACTAAATAACTCTTTAACTTCTTAATACTAAATATATTTAATTTTTCCTCTATTGTTTTCTTCGTAGCATTGGAAGGATTAACATACAAATATTACTTTCTTCCTAGCATTAGAAGGATTAACATACAAATATCATATCCTAAGAATAATGTATTTTGACAATATTTTTTTAACAACATTTTAACTGTCATTCTGTTATTGGTCTATGTTAGTATTTATAAATATTATTATTGATTATGAAATAATATTGGACCGTAAATAATATTAAAATATTATAAAAAAAATACTATTAAAGTATCATTATTCATTATAAGAAACATAGCATTACCTTTTTTTTTTCTTTTCCGGATAAAGTATCACTACTTAAAAAAGTACATATTTATATTTTCTATATAATATGCTGCTTTATGGTACTTGTCCGGAAGAGATTTTTTCATTACTTCAATTTATTTCACAACGCTAAATTTGGTTACGAAATCAGTTATAAATGGAATTTAAACAGTTGCCAAAGTGGCTTACTGTATTTATTTTTGGTTGATTAAAAATTTAATGACTTTCAAGGGTGGATGTGTTTAGGGTATACTACATGATTTTTTTTTTTGTTTAAATAAGCTAAAAAGCTCAAAATGGCTATCATTTTTTAACTATAAAACAGAAAAATCTTCTTTATATGCATAGAAAAAATGAACAGTAAAAATGATAAAATTTTTTCTGAAGTGGGGGAGATCTTCTTTCATACATGCCTCTGCAATTTATATTCTTCCAAACAAAGAATTCTGTAATAATTGATTGAAGTAATATCCGTACGTGAAATGCGATACAACCAGCAGTTAGGTACGCATTCCTTTTAATTTAGGCATGGGAAGTTTCTCCGTGTGAGCTAGTGACTGAATTATTATATATATATATATATATATATATAGTTGCATAAAAATATATAAGCCTGCATATTTGTAATTTGTTTCATTAGTAAACGCATATGCATCCTGCAATTTGTGCGGCATAAAATACTATGTAATCTTTGGCTTCTACATCATTACCGAATGAGTTTCTCTTGCTTCAATTCAATTGCATGTGGCACTGCTGTTGTCGCAAGCGAATACAGCTCATCTACCATCACTACCTATACATCATCATTGCAACGACCCCAGTTTGGATTTCCTTCCTCTTAACTACTTCTGAACACAAGATGGACATGTATCTAATATGGCCCTGGACCCACTGCTTTTCTAGCTAACTCCTCAATTCATCACTCTTTCTTTGTTCTTCAAGATTCGTACCATGGTTTTCGAGGACATTGTGCTCTCTGTCTGTGGATCTTTAACTGGCTTCCTCAATTTTTGGATCAAGAAGTGAGTTGTAAGTATTCCATTTTTTCTCTATATGCTATCTGTCAACTCTCAAGTACTATCTGCCTTCTACCTTTTTCTGTGTTCACTTGGATTACTTCCAAAATGCAAGGAAAGAATAAACCCCAAATTTTTTATATTTTTAATACTTTTCTGGTGTACATATACGGAGAATATTTCTGCTGTTGATGTTTCTGATTGGTTCCATATAATGGTGTGTTTGGCTGCTGTCAAAAGTCTTGGCCATCATCACCGGGTTGTTATTGGCTGCCTGTTAAACTGACTTTTAGCTTCAAAGTTTAGGTTTGCATCGTTTTTTTTTGTAGTCATTAAGGAAAACAATTGAGTAGGTGAACAAAAAAAATTATTATTAAGGTTAATTTCCTTGTCAAACATGAGCTGCTTATTTTGACCCGATAGATATACTTAGTGTAGTAAAATGCACACTGTGGATTCAACATGTCTTGGACACAATTGTCTTTGGTTCGGGTTTGCGTATATATTGGAAATACTCTCGTTTTTTTAATTCTGTAACTAATCCTTCGATGTTACTCCAGTTTGGTTTCTTGTAAAGGTTACCAATATCCCGAGTATAGGTCTTACTTTGCATCCAGGTTGTGTTGAACTGTTGATCTTCGTCTCTCATCAATCCAGAAAATGGACAAGAAGCTGGCCCTTTTCTACATTTTTTCAACAGTGTTGGTTAGTGTTCTGGCTGAACCACTGGAGGATAAGCAGGCGCTGCTTGATTTCCTTGACAGCATGCATCACTCTCCTCATGTCAACTGGGAAGAGAACACTTCTGTTTGCCAAAGCTGGAGAGGAGTGACTTGCAACTCTGACGAGTCTCGAGTAACAGCCCTTCGATTGCCAGGAGCTGGTTTGAGTGGTCCAATCCCACCCAACACTCTGAGTCGCCTCTCAGCACTTGAGATTGTGAGTCTCAGATCAAATGGTATATCAGGCCCTTTCCCTGATGGTTTCTCTGAGCTGAAAAATTTGACCAGCCTCTATCTTCAATCTAACAAGTTTTCCGGGCCACTACCATTGGATTTTTCAGTTTGGAATAATCTCAGTGTTGTCAATTTATCCAACAATTATTTTAATGGGAGTATCCCTTTTTCAATTTCAAATCTGACTCATCTCACTTCATTAGTCCTTGCCAATAACTCCCTTACGGGTGAGATTCCTGATCTCAATATTCCTAGCCTGGAGGAGCTGAATTTAGCCTACAATAACCTTAGTGGGGTTGTGCCTAAATCTCTTCTTAGATTTCCTAGTTCAGCCTTTGCTGGTAACAATCTTACATCAGCAACAGCACTTCCTCCGGCCTTTCCTGTGGAACCACCGGCGGTTCCTCCAGGGGAAAAATCCAAAGGACTCAGTGAACCTGCATTGTTGGGTATCATCATTGGTGCTTCCGTGCTGGGGTTTGTGGTGATTGCAGGTTTCTTGATTGTGTGCTGCTATCAGAATGCAGACGTGGATGTGCAACCAATGAAATCCCAGAATAAACAAACCTCTCTGAAAACAGAATCTTCCGGAAGTCAAGACAAAAACAATAAAATTGTCTTCTTTGAGGGTAGCAATCTTGCATTTGATCTAGAGGACCTGTTGAGAGCATCTGCTGAGATTCTTGGCAAAGGTACCTTTGGCATGACATATAAGGCTGCTCTAGAGGATGCAACCACTGTGGTGGTCAAGAGGTTGAAGGAGGTCACTGTTGGAAAACGAGATTTTGAACAGCAGATGGAGGTGGTGGGGAGAATAAAGCACGACAATGTGGATGCAGTGAGGGCATATTACTACTCAAAGGAGGAGAAACTCATAGTATATGATTACTATCAACAAGGAAGCGTCTCTGCAATGTTACATGGTATATTGATCCATTTCTCTTGTCTAAAACATTACAGTTATATTATCTTCAGTTTCTCACACTTTTTCCAACAGGCTTACTAAGCGGTAATTTAGCTTTCTGCATCATATAATAGGAATTCTTTTGTTCAGCAAGCCCAAGTCTATACCACTAGGTGCCTGTTTGCATAAACAACATAATTGAGTTCTTATTGAATAGGTACTTAGCAAGTAAGCAATAACGTATAAGCTGGTTTAATAATTAAAACAGAAATAACACTATATATATATATATATATATATATATATATATATTTGTAATCTATTTTCATAAGTTATCTTGGAGAGCTTATTGAAATAATCTAAACCCAAGTTACAGATATATCTTCAGTTATTTTCATAAGCTTTTCTGAATACTTTGTACAAGTAATGAGATATGCCCAAATAAGTTGTTAATAAGATCTTCCAAACAGAGTCATACTTGGACAAACTGTTCTGTCATCCTACGTAGTCTCTCTATCAACATGTCAGCCTAACTAGTAGTACTAGAATTAAACCCTAGAAGTATGTCGTTAGGGATGTTCTAAATTAATTTTTTCCCTGCCTGTGCATTAATGGATCAAGACTACTAAGTCGGTGAAACAATAAGTCTGTCACATTGGTTGACTTTGGTTAATATTCATTTGTTTTCCTGGAGCATTTTTCTTTTAAGTTGACTAGACGTTGAATTCAATAATTAGACCTCCATACGTATAATTTTCTCTAGAAATGGCCAATATGAGCGTGTTGTTGCATGTCAATTATGCAGGCAAAGGAGGGGAAGGTAGAAGTGCTTTAGACTGGGATAGCCGTTTGAGAATTGCAATTGGTGCAGCGAGAGGCATTGCACGCATCCACTCACAACATGGCGGGAAACTCGTTCATGGAAACATAAAAGCCTCAAACATCTTCATCAACTCCCAAGGATATGGATGCATATCTGATATTGGCTTGGCAACATTGATGAGTCCAATACCTGTCCCTGCCATGAGAACAACTGGATACCGTGCACCAGAAGTAACTGACACGCGTAAAGCAAGCCATGCATCTGATGTCTACAGTTTTGGGGTGCTAGTACTCGAGCTTCTGACTGGGAAATCGCCCATAAACAGCACAGAAGGTGAACAGGTTGTCCACTTGGTTAGATGGGTGAATTCTGTTGTTAGAGAGGAGTGGACTGCAGAAGTGTTTGATGTAGAGCTGTTGAGGTATCCCAACATAGAAGAAGAAATGGTTGGGATGCTACAAATAGGGATGGCTTGTGCTGCAAGGATACCGGATCAAAGACCGAAGATGCCTGACGTGGTGAAAATGGTTGAAGAGATTCGCCGTGTAAATACCCCAAATCTACCATCTACGGAGTCTCGGTCAGAAGTTTCTACACCCACACCTCGTGCAGTGGACATACCTTCTACCTCTGTTCAACACTGATATTCTTTTGTTCTGCTGAATAGTCGTTAAGATGTAATCAATTCAATTATATTCTTAACAGTATAAATGATATCCATCGAAAGGACTTCTGGTTCTTGGAAGTTTGCAAAACAAATTTACGCTGAGTAGTTAAGCTACCAGTAACATCAGACTGGGTCCCTGTGCTAGTAATAATTGTGTTGTATTATGCAGTCAGGAATCTTTACATTCCGTTATGCTGTCTGTTCGTGATACCTACTGTGAACTGCACTGCACACAGGACACCAAATACGTTGTTTATTAACTATTCTCAGTTCACTTTGATTGTCCATGACAGATTTGTTCCACTAGTCAACATTTAAAAAATAAATAACTTGTCCTACTTCGTACTTTCATTTTATAATCTAGCTTTTTACTATGTATTGTTTGTTAAAGCTCAATATGAAGCTAACATCTTAACAATTTACTTTCAGCTCAATATGAAGCTAACATCTTACCAATTTACTTTATATCACTGGTAGGAGACAAAAACCAGTCATTCTATTCTGTCATGCTAAAAGGGAGAAGAAAAATAACATTGAAGACAACACTGTCGAACGCTCTTAATTCTCCGATATACAAATATGTACACCCAGTGTAAAGAAGTTTGCTCTATACGTTGACGTCTCCCATTGAACCTTCCATCAACAAACACTGGAAAATTTATTAATTCCTGTTCTTTCAGTGAAAGGAAGGGAGAATGATACAAACTTTTGGGGCATACAGATGAACCACGATGACGTATAAGCCTTGTCCACTACAATAGAGAGCTCCACGATGACGTATAAGCCTTGTCCACTACAATAGAGAGCTCGTTAGCTCAAACTTTTGCCACCGGGACATGAATTAGGATACAACTAACATCTGATTGTATGTTGCACTAATTCTTACGCTCGTCCAATAGCAGCAACAAAATTTTCCCTTAGACAACCGTAGTTTCAACTCAGTATCAAAGGAAGATAAAGGCATGGTTGTATTGCCGTTTGAAAGCTCCCAAAAATACATTTACTATAAAAAAAAATACATAGTGCATCATTCTTCTCCGAAAGTAAATTCAATATATAAGGAACAATAATCCAAACATGCCATAAAAGATTAAAGCATATACGGTGGTAATTTCACCCGTGCAGTTTGCTTAAACTTGTAAGAAGAACCTTTTCTACACAATCGCTCAACAATAATTTCCTGTACGTATATCCAGCAAGTTACAGACATTGTCACGAAAATACAAAAGAAATTCACTTCCTCAAAATTTTTGTTTTGACACCGCCTGAAATATATTAAACAAAAGTAAGACAAGACTAAAAACATGCAGCAGAAAGTACTATAATAAGAGAAATAAGAATGGAATGGCGACCTAGATCATTAATTCCCCTTCCAAGCACATTGCCCCACCTTAAAAAAATTAGAGGAAAAAAGAATCCTCCACGTACCTTCAATTTCCTCAAATTCAATCTCCTTAACCATGTTGGATGCTGCATTATACTCAAACCTAAAAAGGAATTACAAAGCATGTGTTTAGTGCTAGATTAAAGTTAAGAAAATTTCGTAACAATGGTTGAAAGCAATACTCAACAGAATTTACAACAACAAAATTGTAAAGACCGTACAAAACATTAATCAAACATGCTGGGTTAAAGTAATACATTTGGTTAGGGGAAACCACATCCCATGAAAACATTAGTCCTTGATTGTCAGCTTCGAAATACAGTATGGACCATGTCTATAAACAACAAACAACTTACTAGAAACATTTAAAATTTGGGGTTAGAAAATGTTAAAGTAAGGGCATAAGACATACACATAAAAAAGCACATAACCAGGTTATAAACAGAAAAGAAAAACATGTCAACTGCTTATTGTCCCACATAACTAAAACTGAGACACTCAACAGAAAAGTAAAATAGAGAGACAACAGAAAAGGGATCAGGGAATGCAATCATGTTGCAGACATCTGCCATGCAAGACTACACTGTGCATACCCAGGGGTGACGTTTTCATGCTTATCGGGACTACCTTGTGAGTATGAGGACTTCAGAAATGGGATACTGATCATTATAGCAGTCAAGGGTGTAATGAATCACTTAGAATTCACATTGGCAATAAATTTATACATAATCAATAAATTTATACAGCTACCACAGACATACCAGATATCATCGTGCATAACCAAGATAGACAAAGATGAAATACTGGGATGGTACAACAATTGGACTAACTTCTTAATCTCTAAGTTTTTTCAATGTCTATAGTGTAAAACTTCAATCAGTAGCCCACACAGAAGATTGCAGCTCAACTAAGTAGCATGAAATGTAACAAGGTTTGCTGAAACAAGGAAAAAAATTCTTTTAACTTTCCAAAGCTAATTTGAAAGCATGCCATCTCTATTTAGACCATGGATTAGAAAATGGAGAATCGCCAACAAAGTCAATTGTTTGCTAGCATGTATATACAAAATTTCTAAACACATTCTGTAAAAATTCTCAGGGACCCACTGTAGATCGTACAAACAATCACATACAAGTACAATTACAAAGGATGGAGCAATGTGAGAGCGAGCAATGGGTGTAAACTCCAAGTACCTATTGGAAGAAACGACCTCAGGTTCATAAGCTTCAACAAAGGCAGTGATGATTTCATTCTTTCTAGCGCTAGCTATGAGCAAATCATACTCTGTCGGAATTATAACTACAAGAAAGTTATCAGTTAACTCACTGACACAAATTTTCTCAACCGCCGCAAGGGCTATCCTCCGTCTGAGGGAATCAGTTTCAGGGTCAATTAGGTAAACCGCAAAATCCGTAATCATCAGATATCGGTATTTCATCTTCCCAGAACCAGTGAACTTCAAAACTTTATCTGCAAATAGAACAATCTGATCACCTGAAAAGAGATCACCACACAGCATTTAAGATTTTCACGAATTACTCAGTGTATGTTTTTCTTCCATAACAATATATATGAGTTTCGTGAATTGTAACGCAAACCGCACTCTTCAATTTCATAAATAAGACGCATATTAAAATGACGGGTACAAGAGTGATAAACATTTTTTTTTTGGAAAAAAAAAAGTGAGGTTTATCAGAGGGAAGCTTCAACCTTGCTTGTTCAGAAGCCTCATCACGTTGGGGTGAGAAAGGATGTCGATGTGGTCCCGTTTACGGATCTTCTCTTCCGGTTCGTCGCGTTGAACCGGAGAAGATTCATCCTCTGCAACGTCGTCGTTTTTGGAATCGTCGATCTGGTTCCCTTCCGACATCCTCCACCGTGTTTGCCAAATCAGAAAGAAAGGTTGAGATTGGAAGCGTGGTTACGAGTTATGAGTCGAGATCAACGAGTCAACTCGCTCGCGTTGAACCGTGTGTTGGCCCAGTGGACCCCATCCAGCTGGCTCTCGTTCATTTTTTCTAGCGTTCTCACCTTCGTATAATCCAATTTCACTTTCTTTTTTCTTTTTTTTATTTACCTTCATAATATTGATAATTCATTATTAATTTATTCTTGTTATAAAAATACATACATCTCCTTGCCAGAAAAAATGACCCAGTTTTCTACTTGTCACCACCTTCGGCAGTTTGATTCTACTTCCTGTCCAAATCCACTGATTTATGAGATAGAAGTTTCTAGAATAACATGTGGATAAGGCAGAAAATTAGAGCACATGTTTTGTAATTATTCAACTATCATATGTAAGAGAAAAGTAGACAACGATGTATGAAGTAAATTGAACTAATTAACGTGTATGGTTTTATTATAGATATGGAATTATAATAAAACCAAATCTTAATTATTTAAAAAGTATTAAATGATGTTTAATATTTTGGTTTTTACCTAATGGTATTTATTCCTTACTTTTTGAATGGTGCATGCATCTATTAATAAAATTCAATTATGCAGGCGCATACATAAACTTAATAATGCTTTAATAATTATGTGGAGTTGGTGGTATCGTAAAGTAGATTTATTGCTCTAACTTTTGATTGATAACTAATGAAAAAATGAGGAATGCGTTAAGAAGAAAAGGAACACGGTTAGGACATATTGATTGAGGAATAATAGGATAGAAAGAAAGATAGTTTGTTTTAGGTGCCACTTTTTGACCCTGGGTGCGGAAAAGGAATGGATTTCGTACAAAAAACGCTAAGTATGGACCCACAACCCTTCGCTTATGCTTCCTTCATGCGCCTTCGAATGTCGAGATGGTCGAAAGGAAAAAAAATGGGAAGATGACGAGTAAAAGGAAAATTAAGAAAGAGGAAAATGGAGACGAGTGTTAATATTATTTTTGCTAATAGAAAAAAAAATGTGTAGAGATGTTTGTGCATAATAACGAAATTTTTATGCATGTTTTTCATAATCTTAATAATTCTTTATATTTGTCTCTTTTTAATTGAAAAATAATATTGGTAATCTTAATTATCAATAATAAAAAAATATTTTTTATCATGACTTTTTTATTTTGGGTTACCTACTTTTTTTCATTTTTCTCCTCTCTTCCAAAGAGAATATAGGATGGAAAAGTAAAATTAATAATAATTGAGAAACAGGAAGAATAATAATAGCATGAAAATAAAAAAATAAATAAGGGCGGGAGAGGAGAAAAATTGTAAAAAGGAAAGGGGAAGGAAGAAGGCAAAAGAGAGTGGATCGATTCCTTTCCGCAGCACCAGACATTTATAAAAGCACTTTTCCATCCCCAAATCCCTCACAATCTTCCATTTTTGCCTTTCTCTCTCCTTCGCCACACAAAAAAATAATACAAAACAAAAAAAAGAAGAAACTAGAATAAGAATAAGGAGAAGGTAGAGTAATCACGTCTATCCACCGAGATCTATTCCTCTGTTTATGTTTTGTTGCGTTGTGGCTAATTAATTTCTGATCTGATTTTCGATTTCGGTTAGGTTTTCGTGATGGCGTCGAAGCGGATCTTGAAGGAACTTAAGGATCTCCAGAAGGATCCACCAACCTCTTGCAGCGCCGGTATTTTTTTCTTTATTTTTTTTCGTTATGTTTTGTAAGTTTGGTTTCGATGGAAGAACTTTATACGATCTCTGATTTTGTATCGCTGAATGATCGTGTATGCTATTTTGGAAATTAGCATGATTGTTTAGCCGTTCGCAGATTGTTGTTACCGTATGGTAACAGTGATCTAGGCATGATTTGGGGCTTCTGATAATGAATCGATTTTTCTGATATTTTGGTATTAACTAAAATTTTTTATACATGTATTTGGACGCTGTTGATGATCGGGTGGTGCTGTGTGGACGTTCAACAATTTTTCGTTATTGATATAGTACATTTTAGGGATGTGTGATATTCTTTTTCGTTGGAACAGATTCTGTATGTGTTTTAAGCTTTAAATTGTTTTTGCCTGATAAATGATTATATTATTTTCTGGACGATGCCTATGTTGGCTGCGGCCTTGCTGTGTGTTTCACGGTTAAATTTGCAATAAGGAACAGGTTTTCTTCCAGTTGAGGACTTTGATTGTACACGTTGTTCCTCTCTAAGTATCCCAACAATCGGTGTGACCATTAGTATTCACGAGTCTTATTCCTCATTTTGGATCGCTGCTTGTGTTATTGTCCAACCTGATTGAAGGGGTGATCCAAACTAATTTCTCTGCTAGGTTACTTAAAATCTTTTTAAGATAGCCATATGACCTAGACCTTTATTGCCAATTTGATGATTAATGGTATATTATTATGACGATTGGTTTATCCAACTATATTTAATTTAAGTTTATCCAACCTGATTGGTTTATTTTGAAGACGTGTAATTTTGCTGTTTCCTTATCATGCTACTAATCTCTAGAGTTATAAAATTAAATATAGTTGGATAAACCTGTTGGAAATTCGTTTTGGGACTTAGGAATTGATTGAGATCCTGAGATGCTACTATGTGCTTGTATATTGGGCCTTAGGGATGTGTTTAATCTAGCTATGTGTTGTTATCATTTTGAAAATCTTAGCACTTATCCCAAATTTTATCTGTTGTTTTTTAAAACATTGCAGGACCTGTTGCTGAAGACATGTTTCACTGGCAAGCAACAATTATGGGTCCTCCAGACAGTCCTTATGCTGGAGGTGTTTTCCTCGTCACTATTCATTTCCCTCCGGACTATCCCTTCAAGCCACCCAAGGTTTGTATATATGAGGTGTCTATTTCTGTAACGTTTCTACATTTCCTTTAATTCTATACCTTTTGTTTAGCTTGTTTGGAACTTTTATGTTCTAAGGGAGCCTTTTTAACAGTGAATGCTTCCATGAAACTCTCATTTCTTACCAAGAATTAAATTTTATTGTTTGTTCTCAATTTTCAAAATAGTACAAACTCTAGCGATTACACTGTTGATTTTAATGAGAATTCTATTTTCTGAGTATAACAAATTCTGTGTTGTATAGCGTCATGAGCCCTGTGCGGTGCAAGGCCTTCAGCTTATCTTGTGTATACTCATGGATTGTGAATGCCTTTCAGGTTGCATTCAGGACGAAGGTATTTCACCCAAATATTAATAGCAATGGAAGCATTTGCCTTGACATCTTGAAGGAACAGTGGAGCCCTGCCCTAACTATTTCCAAGGTCTTTTTCTTCTTGGTTTTACATAATAAGTTATTCCTTAAACTATGTTTTAATCATTCTTCCAACTTCGAAAAATTGCCCATACTTAGATGTGTTCACTACTTTATTGGCACATGATCCTAATACTTGTATTCAATTTCGATATACAATATTGAAGTTACTTTAAGCTATCATCCTATATGTGTCTACGGTATCGTTAAAGATGTATGACCTCAATATTTGTTAATATTATAGTCATTTTTTTGTGGAACGATGTAAACTAATTTTGCTAATGAAAAATTAAAATATTTGTATTTCTTTACAATGAAGTCCTAACATATCTTTAAGTTTGGAATTCTGTTGTCAATTGAGTAATTCTAATGGAAGGAACGGCCATATGTAGCTTGATGGTTGATTCTTTCAAGCAGTTATTTGGCTCTTGTAGTTGGGGATTTTAATTGTCGCCGTTCCTATTATGTCTTGTTGAGAAGAGTCATCGAATTGCAACTAAGCATTGTTTACTTTGTCTTTGCCGTGTTTAGGTGTTACTTTCAATTTGTTCCCTATTGACGGACCCCAATCCTGATGATCCTTTGGTCCCCGAAATCGCCCACATGTACAAGACAGATAGGACTAAGTACGAGTCAACTGCCAGAAGCTGGACCCAGAAATATGCTATGGGTTAAGTGACCTGTGGTATATGGGTTAAGTGACCTTTCTACTTCCAATGTTTAGGCCTCTCAGCCCTTGTATGAATATTTGTTGTTTTCGATTATGATTAAGGCCCCTCCAGTTGAAGATGAAAGGGGGAAAACGTTTATACTACTCTGTTTTCAAATGGTAATTTAGAACAGTGAAATGTGGCCCAAATCAAATGTTATTCTCAAATTTGTAAACTTTCTACTGGTGCCGTTGCATGTTTATTAATTTTTTCCCGTTGAATTGAAGAGTTGCTCATCACATGGTAGTTTTCTCAAATATCTAGCCAGTTCAGATCGATAAAAATGCTTACGTGAGGGAGGTGTTCTTAAAAATAAAGTCAAATATTACCATTGTTCAATGATAATGAGATCATCAGGATGGAAAATTATCGGAAGCTATGTATTCTAGCTTTACAACACCTTATTCCTATAATTATTTATTATGTTTGTACTTCTCTTTCGAAAAATGCACACATTAACTTCTGTCTTATTTTGTTGGGGGGAAAATGCATTTGTGGCATTTATGTTCATTCTAATTATAAATAAACCCTTTAAATTTTTAGAAAATAATATTTCCATTTCCTCTCATGATTTGATTGATATGTAATCAACTTTTATTTTATAGTAAATAATTTTACCATTTTTATTTTAAATTTTGTTGAAGTGATATTTTTTTATTTTATTTTAAAGTTATCGTATTGATTAAAATTTAAACAAAATATTATGAACATTCAAAAATAAAATTTTTAAATATAAAGTGAAAGTATTTAACAAGTTTATAAAAATAAGAGAAATTAATAGGATATTTATCAAAAAAACAAATAAAGATGATATTTATTCGAAAGTGATAGAGTATGTGTCATTAAGTGTGTCCAATTATGTATACTTGATAAAATTTCATTTTTACTTGTTTCGAAGTGAAAGTTTAAACCGTTTGCTTCATATACTAGCAATGACAAAAGCATAATTTGGTGCCTATGCATAATGACTATTTCTCACTATGTTCTTATGATCTCCTCAAGTGTATATCACTCTTCTTTTAAACTTAATGCTTTGTTCCTTTGAGGGTGATTGGAGAAAATGATTTGAGAGAGAGTCATTGAATGAATTTGAGGGTAAATTTTTTGTTATTTGTTTGAGTGAATT